AGCTTAAACCAACACACCAAATTCACTGCCTAAAATATGATTTTCTATCAATATTGATATAATGACATAAAACTCTAAGAACAGTCTTTCTTCAGTTCCATCGTACAACTTTGAGAAAGAGAGATGCAATTTTTATCTACGGACCATTGTTGATTAGGATGGGAAACCCACAGCACATTTATTATGGAAATGTTTGCATTGAAGTCAGCACCATTGTTCCATTTTAAGTGTGTTGTGGACTGGAGCTTTAATCTCTATTGAATTCCTTAAGACTTTGTCGTTAGTACTGCAATAAAAATGTGATTAAAAGATGAGAGGCTTGAAAGGAAGTGGGAAGGGGCAATGCACCCCAGGATTTCGAATGTGACCTTGTTGATTAACACCTCAAAAGCCAATTTAATTAATTTATTTCATTTCCAGTTTTCATTATATGGTATGTTGTTGTTGTTTTTTTTTAAAAAATGTATCTTTGTGTTAATGTAATAATCCTGGGGAGGGTTCCAATGGGGTCAGACGGGCTCAGTCATGCAGCATGGCAAATGGCAATACCTCCGTCTCCTGAGTCACTAGGGTCCATCTCAAATTTGGACGCCTTGCTTGTTAGGCCATCCTTGCCTCTGGAACCACTGGAGCCCAACTCAAGTTCAGCCTCTTAGGAGGAGGTGATTGCCCTATCTATTCTGTTTGCTCTGGAGGAGTCTCTGACACCTCCTCCATCACCTACTAGGTCACAGAGAAGGCAGGCCAGGCATGAACAGACAGGCCAGGCCCAGTCTTCCTGGAGGAGTGAGCATTTGCTTGCCAAGTCTAAGGAACAGCCTTGTTGGTTGCACTTAATTAGCCCCCCCCCCGTCCACCCCCCGGCATGTCACTTGTTGGATCAATGTCTTCAGTTGTCTAACTATGCGCTGTACCTGCTGTGCCTTTCAACTTTATCCTGCTTATGTATCGCACTGATATGATTTTGGTAGAAACTGTAATCTGAGTTTGAGTTCTTCATCCAGTAGGAGCCAGGACAGTGATTTGGATATTTGGATACAGAATTTGGAAACAACAACAACAACAACCACACCTTATGCAGTTTACCTGTATAGATAACCTTTTTAATGTTTAATGTTTTATTATGTTTTTTTATATCTGTCAGAAGCTGCCCAGAGTGGCTGGGGCAACCCAGGCAGATGGGTGGGGTACAATTATTATTATTATTATTATTATTATTATTATTATTATTATTATTATTATTAGTTTGGCAGTATAACGTTTCATAGATAGGCAAAAGTGCACAGCAATTTTTAAAAATGAGAAATTTAGATGTGGAACCATTTCTTATACCTTGAAATATATTATAGCAATGAAGAACATTTTATGATGCTATTCGGTTTGCAGCAAATAGCATAGAGGAAGAAATGTCTGAATCATAGTTAAGGCATCAAGAAATAAGGAACTAAGAAGAGGCCTGCCAGTGGCCCATTTAGTGCAGCATTCTGTTCTCAAAGTGGTCAATTGGGTGCCTACAGGAAATAGCCTGTGGGCAGGACCTGAGTTCAGTTTTTTAATACCATAAACATTGTGGAAAGATGTTAAGCATTCAGTCATTTAATGTGAATCGTCACGTAAATACTACATAAGGAAGGAGTGCCTTGAATAAATGGATTTTACAAAAAAAGAAATTTATTGTCTTTACACTTCCAATATCATTTGCCCACCTACATTTTTTGTTAAATAGTTTTGGGAGATATGAATGTTTGCTACTTCATCCATGAAAGCTAGATTTCACATAATCTAATAAATAAATAAATAAAGCCTGATATTGTGAGCTCCTTTTTCATTAATTGCTCTATAACTTTGGTACGTGGGACGCGGGTGGCGCTGTGGGTTAAACCACAGAGCCTAGGACTTGCCCATCAGAAGGTCGGCGGTTCGAATCCCTGCGACGGGGTGAGCTCCCGTTGCTTGGTCCCTGCTCCTGCCAACCTAGCAGTTTGAAAGCACGTCAAAGTGCAAGTAGATAAATAGGTACCGCTCCGGCGGGAAGGTAAACGGCGTTTCCATGCGCTGCTCTGGTTCGCCAGAAGCGGCGTAGTCATGCTGACCTGGAAGCTGTACACCGGCTCCCTCGGCCAATAAAGCGAGATGAGCGCCGCAACCCTAGAGTCAGTCATGACTGGACCTAATGGTCAGGGGTCCCTTTACCTTTTTAACTTTGGTTCACTTTCTGTGCATCATTCCAACATTTAACCAAGTCAGCCGTGGACAATAAAGTTATTTCACGTAATATTACATAATAATAAGAAAATGGCAACAACTAATAACTAGAACAGTGAAACTGTTAAGACAGACAAGCACGGTCTCCCTCAAATTAACAAAAGGCCAATTTAAGGAGTCTGACTTTCTGTTACAGTTACATATTCATTTTTTCATGCGTTTCTTTCTTGACAAGATGTGACGGCTCATTCATTTTTGTGTGTGCATGTTGAGGTTGGCACTAAATGTGTACTTCAATGCTGCTTAGTGTGTTGACTCTTCTTTTGGATGGTTTGGTACATTTCCAGATTCTAGCTAGCTGTATTGGGGGGGGGGGACAACTTCAAAAAGTGTTTTGAACCAGGATATTGTGGATGATATAATGAGAAGCTTATGTTGAAACAGGGGTGGTGTTTTTGAAAAATGTGGACATAAACAAAAATCCTAAAAGCTTGTTGAGGGCTATGTGAATTGTCCTCAAGTTAAGTGTGTTATAAAAGGAAGGACATTTGTTCCTAACTTTTCACATAATTATTGTTTTTCATAGCTCCCTTGAGTTGTAGTCACACTGAAAATAACAGCTCCAGCAAAATCGCATTTCATCTTCATTGAAACCTAGATAAATCTGCAAATTATGTGGTGTAAAATTATTTTTATAGGATATGGGAAGGCAAGGCTGTGAATAGAGCTTCTTATTTCATTTTAACATTTGCAATTAAGACTTTCAATGGGTAGTTTGAGAGAAAAGTAGCTTCAAATTCAAGGCAGCAATGCTTAATGGGTTTTTATTTCTCTCACAAGCCCACATTGAAGTAACACGTTGGGAAAGAGTGATAATTTTAAGACAAATGAAAGAACTATACTGCATGTTTTCTCGAAAAGATAATTGCTCTGTCTTTCCTGATTTACCTAGTTGTAGGCTGGCAAAACTTAACAAACCCGTGTTAATTCTTTGGTTCTGCAAATGGTTGCCTATTGTGCAGACTTGTTGTATACAGTACTTTGAAACAGTGGGAGGAAGCTCACAAAACTGGTGACTCTGAGAATGGCTGCTTACCCAGTTGTGGGGTAGGCAGCTATTTTGGCCTGTCACAGAGAACTTGCACTCCCAGGGAACAATTCCTGGGAACAACAACAGGCAGGCTGGGGGATTCCCAGCCCAGCCGCTGTGGATTGGTGGGCTTTCCCACCAGCTGCTTGATTTAAATTCCAGCTGGTCCGGCCAGACTGAGTGGATGGGGGTTGGGAGCACATAAAGGCCAGCTGTGCCCAACCCTAGGGTCTCTGTTCAAAAACCTTCAGCGGCTTGGGAGAGTCATCTGTACAGACCTGCATCTTGCAGAGGACCCATTAATCCTGGGTTTGACCCTGCCATGTGGCAACCCTCTACCAGTGGGGCTGGAAGGATATACACCCAATGCCTAAGCCAAGCGCAACAACCTACATGTGGAATCAATAAAGTTGTGGCCAATTTTTTAATCCCGGAATGTTGTCCTGTCCAGTTTGTTCTCTTTCACAGGCTAGGCCTTGCCTAGGGGTGTGTGTGGCCGATGTGCCCCTGCCTAGGGGGAGGGGTCATTGTGAGTGGGTCCGCAATTCTTTTTCATTCCTTATAGCTTCTCTAGTCATTTGCACATACAGTGGTACCTCGGGTTACATACGCTTCAGGTTACATAACCCAGAAATATTACCTCAGGTTAAGAACTTTGCTTCAGGATGAGAACAGAAATCGTGCTCCAGTGGTGCGGCAGCAGCGGGAGGCCCCATTAGCTAAAGTGGTGCTTCAGGTTAAGAACAGTTTCAGGTTAAGAATGGACCTCCGGAACGAATTAAGTACTTAACCCGAGGTACCACTGTATATCAAATATTAAGCACAAAATATATAGTTGCTTACAACAGTGCAAGTTGTGTCTACAGCACTTTCTCCCTTCCAGTTTGTACAACTCACCACACAATTTCAGGGTCATGTTTGGTTCTTATGTATATATAGTCAGACATACAATGCTGCCTTATGCTAGTAAACCAGTGGGCTATCTAGCCCAGTGTTGTCTACCAGTATAGCAGCAGGTCTCAGGCAGTAGGTTAGCCCTTTCCAGCATGCTACTGGATTTTTCTGACATCTGTTGCCAGGGATTGAATCTAGTACATTATACAAGTAAAGCATGTGTTCTAGAATATAGTTGTGAGTGTTTTTTCCACATCCGCCCCCCCCCAACAAGGAACAGAATTCCTTGAGGTCTGGTGTGATTCTGTGTGTTCTTTGACTGTGATTCCCTGTCCTAGTCCCTCAGCTCACCCTGTTGCTCAGTTCCTGGTTCACTTCTGGCTGCTTTCTCCAACTTAACCTTGACAACATGATGGTTTAATGGAGTGGACACAGTTATACCATTCATAGTGATACAGATACAGGCTGTGTACACAACATTCATTTAAAGTACACATGTATCTGCAAAGAATCCAGATAACTGTCTTTTATCTCTCATAGAGCTGCGGTTCCTTGACAGTCTTGAGGTTGTTGGGTTTTTTTTGTGGGGGGGGGAGTACTTTAAATGTATGGTGTGTGTACTGCCACAGTTTCACGTGATTTCTCTTCCTTAAACTAAACTTGAACCACTTATGCAAGCTGTCCTGTGAATCAAACTAAGCAATAAATTAGTGAGGTTTTTCATAAGAGTTTAACGTAGGATAACAGATTATTCCTGACTTTCTCTTTGTTTACTACGCTGTATCTTTATAATATTTTATTTTAAATGCAGGTGAACCAAGGAAATTTGACCCAAAGTTCAGAGGACCTATTCACAACAGGTAAATACTTCTGATTTAGTATATTAAACTCCTGCATTGTTTTTCTGTGAACAGAAGAAAAATATGCTCTTAACTGAAAAAATTGTATCAGTTTTTATTTGTTTCCAGATGTTGCCTCTTTCTGTACTTTGGAAGTGAGGGGGAACTTTTTTCTTCCAATATAATTATGATGCTGATGCTGATGTAAGAGATTCGCAGAGTCTGCATGTTCCTCTTGCCATATGAGGGCTTTCATAAACGGCACGTCCATTGAGGGGTTGTCTACCCTACTTCAACTATAATGTTTAGGAACTGTTACTATGTGAAGTCCACCAGCTGAACTGGTGTGAAAATCACACTAAGCCAAACTATGACTTGGTGGGACTGTGCAAGCTGGCATACACCTGGAAAGGAGCTCACAGCTACTTTGCTCCTTCCCCTTCCTTTTACTGCCACACTAAGGTTTGGCTTAGCATGTTCTCTGAACCCGGGCTCATGGGCTCATGACCAGTAAACAGATCTTGAGCCATGGCTCAATAAAAAATGTGGTCCCATTTTTGAAAGAAGAATTATGAGGCATTTTGCACTGCTCATCATTGCTTTCTTGGTTTGGTGTACAAGTACAGTAGTGACGTTTCAAGCTATTCTAGAAATAGCATTCTAATATTTTCCGATGTGGGAGGTGCCATTTCCCCAGTACAGCCTAAATGCTAAGTTTTTCTATGGTAAGAAAAGTGGATATGGGTGACTAATAGTGCACATCTTCAAGATACTGTCAATTCACAAATTTAAGCATGAAGCTGCGTGTTCATGAGATCAAGCTATTTCAAAAGGTAGATAACAAGCATAGGAATTAAGTATTGCCACATCTCGTGCTGCCATTGCTCATGAATCACACTAGCACATCAAAAATAAAATCCCATTTGAAATATAAGGTATTCTTAGAACCATTTGTGAATGCATTCTTTACTAGGGAGTGCTTAAATGTAGTGTGATTAAACAATCCCACTTTACTTTGTTTTAACTATCATGATATATAATGTGCCTGAAGAGCACTGAAGATGGAAAGCCAGTAGAGAAGCATTACAAGCAATGTACTTTAACCTATAGCAGGCGTATAAGACGAAAACCAATGAAATATTATAAAAAAATTCAAATGGCTGCAACAGGCGTCCCCAAACTCGGCCCTCCAGATGTTTTGGGACTACAACTCCCATCATCCCTAGCTAACAGGACCAGTGGTCAGGGATGATGGGAGTTATAGTCCCAAAACATCTGGAGGGCCAAGTTTGCCTATGCCTGACCTATAGTCTTCACTTGAGGCAGAATTCCTATTAAGCTTAATGGGATGCTTGGTATCTTTCAAAAACTGCATGCTGCATAGCAGTTTATTTGCAGTTATCTTCTGATTTTAGACCCCTGCTTTATACCATGACGCCCTAATACAAACATATAGTTACCATGACAATAGCTGCAGATACTGCAGTTATTTGTATTGTGCTTCATGTGTACGACCACAGAATATTATGGCTATTATGCAATTAACATTTAAATGTGGTGTATTTTATAAAACACTCGGGAGAAATGCTATATGGGGAGTTTGCATTTCCCACCCAAACACAGTCCCACATACAATTAAGACATAATCAAGAGCTTTATTTTGTCATGTTGCCTTTCTTTAAAAACAAGGATCATTTGTCCTTGGTACATACATTATTTTTGGACCTGATTATACTGTGTGACTGCAGTGCCCCATGATTAAAAATATATCACTATTATTTCAGACATTGGGCAATATTTTTAGCTCTCTAATTGCCAAGAAAGGTGGCGTGTTTAGTGCCAACACTGGCATATTTAGTTGCTGCTAGTGTTTCTTATCTCACCCTCCCCGCCTTCAGTGAATGCTGATATTTTGGTGGAAGGGGTGATGATCTTCTGCCCATTTTTTATGGCCCTGAGTTTAACTTTAAAGAGCTGAGCTCACACATTATATTTGGTGTATAACTCAAAGTGTGTGTGTGTAGTACACTCTACTAATTTACACCTGTTCCTAAAATAAGGAGTGTAACATATGCAAGGGTAAAGGAAAATATCAATCTATACTTAATTTTTAGGTGGGCAGTTCTAACAAGCTTTTGGCTACATGTGTTGGGGAAGTGGGATCTCAGCTGTCCATCATAAGTACCTGATTCATCTCCAAGTCTGCTGGATGCTTACACATGAGTGTCTTCTTTGCATAGTGTCTACAAGTAAGAAATCTAACACATGTAGGCTTGAATTTTATGACGAATATGGAAAAAATGTGCATGATTAATTTATTTGCCTGTACACATTATAAAGCAAGACACAGTTGCATAGTTGTCGAACAGTTTCAGTTGAGACAGTCATTTGTTTTGGTGAGGCAGGAGCGATCCCGCTGCCTGACCATGGATATCCAGTATGTTTGTCAGATCCAGCCCAAGGTCATCTATTGATTAACGTTGACAGGAGGTTATTTTCCTATGATACTTATCATCTTTTTAGTATAGGAAGCTTTTTGAGATGTCAGTACAGTTCCAGAATCTGTAATAATATTTAATCAAGACTACCAAAAGGCCAAACTTAAAGCAGAATGACGTTTTATTTTATTTTTTCATGTATACTATAATTATATGCAAAATAAAAACCCATTTGCAATAGAAGTTTACCAGAAATAGGCACCTGAAAAGTTTTCCGATAAGGCTTGTTGGTACCATTTGTAGTCCATAGAAGATCTGCGTCATGTGATTGCACATGTAAGATTAGTGTATAGGGTAGATGTGTATTTTGGTACATAAGAACATAGGAGGCTTATACCAAGTCACACCATTGGATAATCTAGCTCAGGATTACCTACATCAACCGACAGCTGCTCTCCAGAGTTTCAGTCAGGATTCGCTCTCACCCCTACCTGGGGATCTACGTTTTCTACTACCGAGCTCCATTTTCCTGACACATGGCTTCTTTCGTTGTCTTCTTGACTGCACCATATAATCTTAAAAGAAGACAAGAGGAGACTGATGTACAAAAGCAACAGCCTATTAGTTGTGGCATCCTGTTTCCCACAGCAGCCAAGCATGTTGTTCCCAAAAGCCCCTATGGAGGACATCCTGACATAGGCAGCTGTCACATAACTGGTGGGTTCTTCTACAGGTGCTTTCACTAGCAGCTGAGACCCAGACCTTCATGATGACCTGTGGTGGGACCGATTGCAATGGGGCACATATCTGCAGGGGGACTGAGTTTCCATTCCTTTCCTTAAAAGCAAGTTTCTTATCAGAATTCTTAGAAGGAAAGTTATGAAGCAAAATGTACAGGCAAACTTTTAAAGTGATGAGCCAACTTGGCTGCTCCTGCTTCTCAGTCTTTTTGGCCACAGAGAAAAGTGAGAGCTGTGATTGAAAAGTGGATTGTTTGGTCTAGTACAGGGCAGTCCAACATGGAGCCCGAGGGGAACATTTGACACGTGTGTGCATGCACCCCCCCCTGCAGCCCTCATGCTGTCTTCCTAAAGCCAGGTAAGCAGGGGGCTGGGATTGGGGAAGGAGGCATGAGGGCTCTGACAGAATCCTAGAGTCTTCCAGCCTCCTTCCTAAAGCCTGGTGCCTTGCTTAGCTAGTTTTGGGAAGGCAGCATGAAGACTGGCGGTGGGGAGCGTCAAACTTTGGCCTTGGTTCCTCCCCACCTCCGCCATGTTAAAAGGCAGTGTGCAGTCCACAGATTCTGTGTCGAAGGTGCTCGCTTCGGCAGCACATATACTAAGATTCTGTGTCGGAGTACTCTTGCAGCCCACCTGGTGTAAAACATTGGACCACCCTTGCCATGCAACTCTGGGCATAACATAATGCATTGAATAGTCAAGACACCTGCTGTTCACTGCAGAGGAGTGGGATGCAGAGAAGGCTTCAAGAAACCAAAACCTGTACAAATTAAGACTTAGGTGAAATGGCTAAAATGTTTTGAATGCAAACACATTATTGAGAATATGTTGCAAATGTGCTTTTGTTGTTTTCCTGGAAAAGAGAAAAATGAGACCACCAGCAATTACTTATCAATTTTAGTTTTCTCTCTGTGGGAAAAAAATGGCAAAGATAATAACAATGGCACTGTGATGTTCAAAGCAACATTTTAAGTACATAATGTTCTTTTCTACCCGCCCATGTACTTTGTGATTATTAGTATTATAGTTGATATTTTGAAAATAGATAGAAGAGCCTTGAGTGAATATTTAGTGAGAGGTAACTATTGAACGTGATGGAGGAAGCTGCATTAATATTAATAAGGGAAATTGTATTAATGGAGCTCTTTCTGTGATAAGTTCCCTAGTTATATAGGAAAAACATTTACAGATAAAATGAATAACAGACAGATGCTAAATAATATTTTTATCAGTAGGCTTTTGTATCCTAAAGCTTGTATTTCTTTAGTATGTGGCCTGATCTTTATTGATTAACTTGAGTTATTTTTCAGCATATGTGGCAAATAGGGATCTGAATAGTCTGCCATGGACATATGCTATGTCTGAGATGAATATTCTTAATTCAAAAAAATGATTCTGGAGAGGTGAAAGCTAATCATCTCCAAAACAGACTTTCTGAATAGTCAGGATTTTTAAAATCATGTTTGGGGCCTTCCTGTATTACAGCACATTCTTATGTATGCTTGTTGAGGCATACAATCCATTGAATTCAATGGACCTTGCTTCCTGGTAAGCATTTGTTATTTTAGCCTTTGTCTTGTAGGCGATCTTACTGCACCAGAAATTGCACAGTGTCAGCAGAATGGCACCACAGTAAAATGTGACTGTGTGGTGATGTCACTTATGGTAAGTATGGGTGACTGGCAGCAAGGACAAAATAATTTAAATAAATGATGTCAACATTCTAGCTATAAAAGGCGAGTTTCTCCTGCGCTGCTACAAATGTTTTTGAAAATTGATGAATAACCTTAGTTACAGCACAGTACGACAAACAGTACTAAAATGAGAAGTAGCTTGTGCTATT